ACTATGTGCAGATGCTTCTTACAGTTAGCAGGAAGAAAACCACTTCCTCCACTGTCCCTCACATGAGTACTCAGTGGCTCTTGCCACTCTCCATGGTGATCAATTTCCCCTGCTTTTGGAGGTCTCATATTTAAAAAAAAAAGATTGAGCAGAATATGTGAGTTTCTTTTCTTCACTCACTTGTAAAGGTGGGAATGTAGTATGTTAGCTACAAAGATGTTTCAACACAGTTCAGTTGCTTTTCCTTTGAGGAATTAATGGGTGTTTTATTCACCAGATTTCTCTAGTATGCTTGTGATCTGAAGATGTCTTGGGCTCCCCTTTGCTGCTTCACCCTGTCCTTTATTAAAAGACACGTTCAGTGCCATTATTCTTATAGAGTATATGTTTCCACAACACTGCAAGCCGTGAGCGCATGGCTTCTCCTTTGTCTTAGTGCTGAGAACACCATGCAGTTCAGCCCCAGTCCTGTGAGTCTGACCTAAAAGCCTCTTCCCTAAGGACAAGTTTTCATAGTCCTGGAGGGTGATTTGCAAACTTCCAAGAGATAAAAGATAACCCAAAAATAGGACTGCCTGAACAATGATGACATTAATATACCTATTATGCTGTAGGTGGGAATCTCATATGACCTCATCCCTAAAGAGCTCAGCCTTAGCCTGAGTGTCCCTAAGAACTAATGAGAGGTGGAGAGTTAGGCTGCCCTAAGGATGAAGCCATCACTGTTCATCTGCTGCAACAGGTCAGTCCTCAAAACATAGCTACAGGCAAACCTCAACAGAATCAGCTGTTCCTATGTACGTAGTTATGCATATATATGTATATGTGTGATACATATATATGAGATACACACACACACATGTACATATGATAATAATAAGGAAGAAGATGCCGTATATTTAGGATGGAGTAATAGAGGAACATGAGGTGAGTTCGCACGAGGGGTCAAGGATGTAATTCTACTTTAATTTGGACGATTTCTCAGAGAAACATACCAGTCTTGTCAGTTGTGATAATCTGGGTAAAACTGGAAATTATTTCAGCAGAGAGACCATATGGCTGCACTCATATGTTAGATATAAAGAGTTGTAATTCCTGTCAGCCACCAACTTCAGGAAGCTGAGCCTGGGGTCACACTGGACACTGATAGGTGCTGTGGGACCGTGTGATGTAGGGAGATCTGTGTTCACAGTACTGTTGTCCGGATGCTGGACGTGCGCAAGCATCATGCAGTGTACATTTCAGAAGCCTGGAACGCCGTGTTTGAGGAGATAAGCATTCAGAAGCTGAGAAAGACAACCCAAGGTTGACCTGTGAAATTACTTCAGAACACATGGGTGTGTGTTTATCTATGTATAATACAATTGGACCACCTGCCCAGGATGAGCACCACCCGTTATGCTGTGTGCCATCTCATTATCAGTCACCAATTAAGAAAATGCCATAGGCCTCCCCACAGCACAGTCTCATGGAGACACTTTCTCAACTATACTTCTCTTTTCTCACATGACCTCAGCTAGAGACAAGTTCACAAGAGAACAAGCCAACCCAATGCATCTTAGTACTTATATGATTATTCTAGGTTTTAATTAAAAGTGTGATATCATTCATTCATTGGTCTTTATTTCAGGAAATGCTGTCCTTCTGGGATGTGGCCATTGATTTCTCTCCAGAAGAGTGGGAATGCCTGGAGCCTGCTCAGTGGAATCTGTACAGGGACGTGATGCTGGAGAATTACAGCCACCTTGTGTTCCTGGGTGAGCATTGCATCTGTAGAGAATTCGTGTCTCACTATGGACATGTAGCTTCCTCAGTCAGTACAGTGGCTCATGGAAGATGGTGCTTTTTGCCAGCGACTTTCATATCCTTCATTTTCAGAAAAATTGGAGAGGTTGTCCAAGCTTAGAAAGATTTCATTCTTTTTGTCTCTGTTTAACCTGTCTGTGTTGGAAGCAGGTGCCCTGCAGTCTAGTGGGACAGTTAGAAATGCAGTGTCATGAGGGATGGAACACACTTGTGAAAGGCTTCCACAATTCAGTTTTAAAGTTATTCCCTTTAAATTAAACTCGGAATCTGGACACTGTAAATTCCTTCACATATTGTAATAATGATCCTGTCAGAAACCATTTAAGGAAGTAATTGTCTGCAATCTCAATTGCAGCATCTCTTATAAACACGGCATGAGAAGGGACGTTTCAATTGCCAGCAAAGAACACTTAACCTTGTTCCCTTTGTCTACAAACAGGTCTTGCTGTTTGCAAGCCACATCTGGTGACATTTTTGGAGCAAAGACAAGAGCCTATGGGCGTGAAGAGACAAGAGGCAGCCACTGTGCATTCAGGTGTGTAAGACTGAGGTAAATAATAGCAGCCTCTACTGGAAACAGTTCACCGCTTAGGTGTTCTTAAGCACATGGTCTTTCCCTGGGCTGCCCTGTTGTTGTCCTTCTACCTGTCACAGACTCAGGGAGCCAGTCTGACCCATGACAGAAGCTGTGGGAGAAACTCTGAGTCACTTATGCTTGAGCTTGAAGTGGGAGGGGCTCCTCCTATCTCCAGAACTAGGTTTTCAGTGAGCTAAAACGGCATATGTTGATTTATAAAAGCATTCTCTGTATTCAAAAGGCATTGTTTCTCTGTAAGACTGAACCCAGTCATGTACCTAAGTGTAATTTTTTCAGTGTCTTCAGATGTGGGTGGACAACCTGAGATGCTCAGTGTCTAGTTTCCTCTTGTAAAGTCCCCAGTGTTAAGGACTCTATCCCGATTCTATGAGACATGGATAAGTTCGCTCCCTTGTGGATCAGTGTAGTACCTGTAGCCTTGAGAAGAGACATTTAAAGAGAGAAATCATGAAAACTAGACGTTTGAGGAACTCAGAAAGTTCTAGAGATGAAAGGAAGGATATCTGGACTTGGTGGAGCTGAAACAAAGGCCGACTTCAGTCAAAAGGCAAAGGAGTCCCAAAACCACAACAAAATGTTCTATCTCAGAAGTTTGTGAACCCAGTATAAAGTACCCAATCTTGCTTTCATCTCTAGTTTCACACACAAGCAGTGTAGCTGAAGGATTCTCCCCATAGGAACACTGAATTCAACCCCTTGTCCACTGTTACCTTGAGTACTGGTCCTACAGGCTGGTTAGTCCTTTGGGATGCGTGGGTCCTTGCTTCTGCCCACTGTGCAGCCCCTGGTCTGGTGGCTACTCATGGTCTGCAGTAGATGTGGTCCTGACAGTACTTAGACCTTCCTGTGCGTGGATGGGTCAGTGAGATTGTATATCTCCATCCCAAGAGCCAAAGGAACCCTTTGGGTGAGGATGTGTGGAAGTTACTAGAGTTAATCTTTTGACAAGTCCTTAAGGTGGAGCTCAGTGCTGGGCATGAATCAGTTGAGGAGAAGTAGGTGTGGTCTTTCTGAGAACCACTAAAGGAACCTTACAAAGAAGGTCGGCATCTTCTGGAGCACAGACAAGAGGACAGAAGACCGCACCTTCCATTTGCCTTAATTCCAAAATACGCACATGCTGTGGCCTGACAAACTGGAAGGCAGAGAGCAGTAGCTGAGACAGCACATGTTAAGTTCACTCATTCAGCATCCACAGAAATGACTTAGCACACTAATTTAACTGAAAATGGTTATCCGTTATTTCTTCACTCAATATCTTTACTGTTAGGAGACACAGGGAAGGAGTTCCTGTCAGGAATCTTTCAACTTGTTAGAACCTTGACCAGACAAAAATTACCTCCTTGGAGGATCAGAAGGACTAGGTTGCATTTTGGTGTCAGCAAATACACATTGGTGACTCCAGTACCCTCCGGCCCTGATTAAATTGACTTTAAGAGCCAATGCCACAATTGCATCCCACCAGACTGGTGTAAAATTTCAAAAGTTCTCCTTCTATGTATTCACATAATTCAAACAGTGGATCATCCCCAGCTCCAGGTGTAGAGGCTGCAGGACAACATTTTCTCAGCAGTATTGCTTAGCTTGGGTGAGCCATTGGATAAAACTCAGGCCAAAGGGAGTCACACTGGGTGGTGACAGTCTTTGCACTCCTTGCACACATCTAAATGTTTGTGTACTTTTCTGCAGACCTAGGTATGAAATCATTGTAAGAAATTAACATCACACTTAAGTGTGTCTCAAATCACTTACACATATGTTAATGAAACTCATCCGCAGACTTCTTGGTGAAGGACGAAAATTTTTTAAAGTATTTTCCTATCACATACTCAGTAATAAGGATTTAAAATGCATGCCTTTTGTGGATATATAATTCAAAAATTAAATGAGTCTAGGTGTGTGTGTTTAATATCTCATCAATAAGCTTTCAGAATTTTGTGGATTCAAGATTTTTCCTTTGTCCTTTGATCTTCTGCATCCTTGTTTCTAAGTGTGCATTGGCTATCATCACCTGGTATGCTCACCCTATATATTTTGGTGGATGGGTAAAATACATTGATAGAACATTTAAGGAGAGTGTAAGCTAAAAATATCTGTAAGCTTTGCTTCT